GTGTGTGTGTGTGTGTGCCTGGCTCTGGGCTGATGGTCATGGAGTGCTGCCTCTGCACTGTGTGTGTGGATTCCTCTCTGCTCCCAGAGGATGGGGGAGGGGATCCGACAAGGGAGGCTGTAATTGCCAAATCTTCTGTGAATAGGGGTCACCCCGTTGGACGCTGTTTGAAATCGCACACATTATAGCATTAAAATGTAGCCTGTTTATTGTGGCAATTTTCTGGCAGCCCTGATAGTTTGAACATCTGTAGCAAGAGGCCGACAATAGGCTGGGTTTTACGCATGCCTGGTAAAGCCTGTGTGTAGTCGGCCTTCACCCACCGCTGGTTATTTATGAGCCAATGATGAGTCAAGGTTTATATCAGGGAGCAATATTTCACAGACAGCCCAGTGCTTGGTCTAGTCAGTACAACTACAATAACACGTTTCGTTTCCTCCTCCCTCAATAAAAACATTTCCGAGAGATGTTTGTTATTACTCTGATATTTATCGCCCTATATTTTCAGAGCGTAGGCATTGTGTTGCACAATATTAGGTGGTTTTCGTGTTGTCAACAGCAGCATGTGTCCCTGAAGTACTCCACTATGTTGTTTTTATCCCATATCATCCCTACCTCATGACTCTAATTAGAGATTGAATGTAAGAAGAGAAAGGGCGTGCTGAAGGAGGGAGGATGTTTGAAAGATGGGCAGAGATTCTCCCTGCTGAAGCCTTAATTGAATTTCTCCAGGATAATGAGAATATGGAATGGGCCGATTACCATGGAGAGCTATGCAAATAAGAACCATAATGCTTTGCAGCAGGTCACATGCGGGCACTCATTAGTCTTCCAAATCAAAATTCCGCTTTTGACCTTGAATAGGTAGAAGACAACGAACGAATACTCCAAATGTCAAACCTGTAATTCTCTATGTGATTTTAATCTGATTTTTAATGTAGAAAGGTGAAACACTGTCTGTCAAATGAGATGTTGTATATACAAGGTAAATATGGTGCAAGAAAATGTAATTATCTTTTGTTTTCACAGAGAGAGACAGGAGCAGCAGCTGGGATATCGCAAACGTGGGCCGAAACCAAAACATCTTCTGCTGCAGGTAATTATCATCTTCGTCATCATTGACAAATCATCGCCGACTTAATAGTTTCTGTGGGATACCTCCTGCTTTTCCTGGCCCTTTTATGTAAGTTTCACTCTGAGAGGCCAAAAGGGGAAGGGTCCTGTCAGGTGTTTTAGAGCTGCTGTCATTACGATTGTGGTTATTTATAGATTTCTTTGAGAGAGATTGAGTGGAAGGCAAAGAGAGGACGGGGTTCTACAGCTGGATTTCTCTCCACACTCATCATGAAACAGAGTTTATTGCCTGAGGTTACGTAAGCGTTGGTTGAGTGCAGCTAATGTTCGCTATTTCTTTATGCTAAATAGCTTTATATGCAAAAAAAAAAACGTTTCTTGCTTGTTATTGTCTTTTTGCACCAAGTGAATCTGTATGAGCAGAATGTTTCCTTTCATTTCCATGTTTGCAAATTTTTCCCAAGACATAAATAGATGGCTGAAAGTAGCACTCTGTCATGCTTTGACTATCTTAGCTCAGGCCTTTACAGGACCGGATTCTGAGCCAAATGTGATTATATATTTTGAGAGACTCAGGCTGATTGCTATGCAGTGTCAGTTCTTAAGAAGCATACCACTCTGCCGGAGTCACACGTGGCCAGCGATCAGGGATAAAGCGTGACATGTCTGGTGGCACTTCTCTGACCTGAGGTCACAGCCAAAGCTTCTCGAGCGTTCCGCTGCAGTGCCCCCCTGACGGCCGAGGGGTCAGTCTGTACAGGAGGAGGGGGAGGAGACAAGATGGCGGGAGGGAGGTCATAAGCTGAGCACTGATTGGATTGTTCATTTAAATTTATGATAGGTTGAAGCATCCTGTAAACTTTTGCGTGCAGATTTGCATGTTTTAGTTGTAGCACATTTGTTTGCAACTTTGAGTTTGAAAGATATGGGCATTTTCCAGGTAGGGAGGGTAAAACAAATTGAGGCGAGTGGTTGCATTATGAGTTGAAGTTTTCAAGTCTTCAAGGTTATGAATATGCTTAGATTTGAATATACTTTCATCTCATGTAACAATGACTCATGTTAACCAAAAATCTTTTAGTTAAACAATCCCATTGTCATATTTGTTTGTTGGTCCTCTGTCCCTGACTGACATTCAGCAAGCATTAAAGGTCCAGTGTGTAACATTTGTTAGGAGGACTATTGTCAGAAATGGAATATAATATTCATAGGTATGTTTTCATTAGTTGTGTTTTTATTACCTTAGAATGAGTCGTTTTTATTAACAGAGGGAGCTTTTTTCATGGAGGCTGCCATCTTGAACCACCATGTTTCTACAGTAGCCCAGAATGGAGAAACTAAATATTGGCTCTTGAAAGGGTGCACTGTAGTTTCTCCTATGCTTGGACGGCTGAGCTGTGTTCAGATGGTAGATGCTAGATACCACTAAATTCTACCCACTGGTCCTTTTAAATAATCATTATCAAAACATATAATTCATATGAAAAGCTGGTAAAATAAACAAAGTGACAATATACATTCATTGCTGTGGCTCTAAAGGAATTCTGTAAATCTTTCAGGAATTGCATTTAGAGTAACAATTTAGATGTGATTATAAAGGCTTCAAGAACCAGGACATTTTTGGTTTAGGTACCTTGAAAGTGGATATCTCAGTCTCTGTTGCTTTGATTTATTATCATGCTTTTATTAATCCGTTTCTTGTGAGCCTCCCAACGAAAATATTAAATGTTTAACATGGTGTCTTATGTTTTTCTTCAAGGTACCCTCCTTTGCCAGAAGATCCAGTATTCCTGCAGGTTTTGAGGAATCATCTCAGGATGCAGAGGGTAGCCTCAAGTCCGATCCAGTCCACATCCAGCGCCCCCAGCCTCAACAGTACCAGCTGAACAGCAAGAAGCACCATCAGTACCAGCCCAGCTGCCAGGAGGTGCCTGCTGACCAGCTAACCAATGGCAAGAAGAAATTCATCTACCAGCTCAACAGCAAGAAGCACCACCACTATGAGCCTGACCTCAATATGTACGATGCACAGGCTTCAAGGCTCAAAGAGGTGGTCAAAGTTCAGGAACCAGCCAGTAAACCAGCAAATCCTGGCTGGAACTTACCGCTGGCCCTGCAGCAAAAATGGGTTCGCGACAAAGACACAGGCTGCTTAAGCAAGGTCAAAGAGTTGGCAGTGGAGGTGAGAAAACCAGCTATTAAAGAGGCTGAGAGTGAACATGCCCTTAAACCCAATCCTAAAGACGCAACCCTGCCTAGCGCTATTAGCAGCAAAATGAAGATAATCAAGAACAAAAACAAGAATGGACGTATTGTTATTGTCATGAGCAAATATATGGACAGCAACAAGGTTCACGGAGCAAAGGGTAAACACGGGGAATCATCAAGTGAAGAAAAACCCCAAAACGCCAAACCATCAGAGAACAATCCAGCACACACAACCAAAATGTTGGAGTACCCGGAGAACGGTATCCCCAAAGAGATTTGTAACGGCAGCTCCCTCCCTGCCGCAGAGCATCCTATAAAGTGTTCCCCAAAGGACAGACATTTTTCCAAACCTTCACCGAGCACAGCAGAGGAATACAACACAGAAGTGGCTCGCGGTCAGGCTGATTTACCGGATGATCTACCCCTTCAGCTGACCGCTAGCTCACCCCTAACGTCTTGGGCTGTGGACACCAACATCCCGACCCCTACAGGCGTTGACCAGATCAGGATCCCCTCTTTTCCCAATGAACGCAAGCGAAAACTATCGGATCCAGTCGAGGACAGGAGTGTTTCTAAAACCTACCTGACTTCCAGAAGCTTCAGTGTCCCCAGCACTGTGGTCACGCCGCCTCAGGACAAACCTATGGACCTCCACTGTAGTGGCCCACGCCGCAGCAGTACATGTACATATGAGGTTGTGGACTCTGGCAGCCAAGAGGAGCCTATGGATCTCAGCTGCCCAAAGACTAAGAAGCCGGTGGAGCCAGAAGTACAGCCGGAGCCTGAGCCTGCTGTGAAAAACACACCTCCTGTGACAGAAGACACACAGAAATCCACAGAAAAATCTAAAGAAGCACCTGTTAAAAAAATCTCCCCTTTTATGGGAAATATCATAATCACTGATATCACCACAAACAGTCTCACCGTCACGTTCAAGGAATATGTTTCTTTCTAAGAAACTACTTGTAAAATGGGACTGCCAGTGACCGCTTGGATAATCCTGTTAATATGTGCATATGTAAAAACATCCAAATTTTGTATATGTGGAAATTTATAATTTATCATTCAAATCCAATATGTTTCTTATAATGTTTTATACTGTAACTCCTCTGTGACGTTGTAGCCAAGAAAGTGCCCTCGAGGATTTGAGCGAATGCATTCAGGTGGATGTATTCCACAAAAAAACAAACAAACAAAAAAAACTGTTTATTTGTCATATGGAGCTTAATGGGATACTTTTGCTGTTGTTTCATACCTGTACCAAACTTATAACCTGAGATGTATGAAGGTTTATACATATTTTGTATTAATAATATCACTTATTTTGGTCCTGATAGAAGGTAGAGAGGAAGTTGTTGAATATATGGTGATCAAAGATCAAATTGAAAGCACTTAATTACATTTTCATATGTTGGTTTGTGTCATTACTAGTGGAGAAACAGCTGTTCTCTTGAAGTCTTATTTCACAGATGTTTACTCCATACAGGTACCCTCAAAAAGAACTGGCATATTTTGTTACAGGTGTGTTTGATTACAGCGTACACACAGAGACAACTGTGGGACGCACTCTGCCGTGTCAACAACATTTAAGAAATGTCTTTTCTTTTGTCAGGTTTTGGTCTTGCCATTGAGATGCAACAAAGCCATCAGTAAATCTTCCGTTGCAACCCCGACTTCCATTGCACATTTCACCTTTAGAAAACATTTATAGAATTAAATGTGACATGTACTTTCTCAAAGGTCAGTTACTATAAAGAAAATGGTATCATTTATCAAGCGTGTTACTTCCTGTAAAGACGGCGTATTGATTCTTACCATGATTAGGTTGTGGTTTATTGCCTAATAGTTGACCTCACATATTGCTGGAGTTACTTTAAAAATACATGCTAGTCTCGTTAGGAGTCTCCTAATGTCACACAGATTAGCGATATTCATCTCATTTTGCTCTTTAAGCTCATTACATGATCTGAAAAAACACATAATAATGCTATTTGCTTTAGAAAAATCTACCAGGGTCATTACTGAGTATGTTACACAGATTAAATGTGAGGGATGTGCGAGGCAGGATTTGTATACTGTTACGTGCGATCCAATGAGTGCAAGCTGTTCTGATTATGCTGCTGAAAATCCAATATGTCAAAGCTGTTGGATGTAACCTACATTCGAGTCTAAATTGCCTTCCATGCACATTTAATGCAAAACCAGTGAGAATGCTAAAAAGCTATAATAATAAAAATGAAGAGTGCATATTTATTGACGTTTAATTTGTTGTTCAAAAACAATTACGAGATGTTGTCTGCATCAGAAGCTGCAGGTGATTTGTCCTTTTTAAGAGATGTTTTGAGTCTGTTTGCTTCTTTCTGTTCTCTATCTTTTTGCTTTGCTTTGTTCATTCTTTCTTGCACTTGGTTCAAAGTCAAAACGATTGTTATAAAGTATCTTCTACCACGAGCTGGTTTACTTATTGCTGTTGGCACAGCTTATTGGATGGTATGTTTCACAATAAAGAAAGAGAAATGACCTCTGACTTGTTGTTGCATAGATATGGTGTGGGTGCTGTGTGTTTATATATTGAACATACTTGATGTGTCTTTTTTAGGCAAACTTTTTATAGTTTCTTTTAGGGTTCCAGTGAAAGGTTTGTATATCATTGTTCGTGTCCTGCAGTTCTTATGAGGCCTTTCCTCGTATAAAGAAAGAATGGAAAATTAAACACTAACTTGTGAACCATGAATAGAAAAAGAGATCATGTTGCATAATCACAAATGATCCTGCACAAAGGGCCCTCTGTATTGCATAAGTGCACTGGCTACTTGTGTTATTAAAACTTTACCCATGCATTACTTTTTTTTTTTTTTATTGTAGCTTGACCCCAAGCAGGAATGTAAACACACAACATAACTGGAGAAGGGCAGAGAAGCCTATTATGTAATTCTTAGATTCTATCAGGAAGAAAGGCTTCATGGTGGGTAAGTATTTGGCCACCACATGGATTATAAGTGTGTGCACTGCAGCACAATGTAGAAGGGAAGGGCATGAATTATGACATTCAAATATAATGCGCCTGCAATAGGCTTCGTGGCATTTCCAGAACATTGGGTAAGTTGTTATAAAGGGCTTTGTTTTCTCATCAAAGGCATGTGTCACAATGACACAGCATCTCTCCCTACATTATTATCATTCAGTATCATTTAGACCGGCAAGTTCAGACCTACAAAGAGAGAAACAAAGCTTTAGATAACACATTTGCGCATATAGCTCAGCTTATATGGATGGACTTTAAATACTGACCTTTTATGACATTGACAAATGCTGCATGGGCCTCGCTCAGTCTTTAGGAGGATCATTAAAAGGCCTGTGGCTGCAAAACTCTGATCTAAAAATGCAGGCAGAACTTGTTGTGTTGTTACACTGGAATCTCAACCTGCTAGAAAGATTAGGGCCTAACTCTGTTTTGAATGATAGACAAGCCCAGGAATGTGTATGTGTGTGAGGGGTGTCTTCTTTAGTTTAGTTATGGGAGTTGCTTATCAAAGAATGCTGGCACTGAAGCAAAGAGAAAAACAAGAAAGAAAAGAAACACACAACAGCAAAAGCTGCATCAACACACTAAATTAAATAAATAACCAATGCTTCTTCTTTGTCCATTCCAGTTCAGTCAGATGGGTTGTAGTGACATGTAGGATGCCTTATTTTTTTTGTTTTAAACGAATAAACCTTCTCTCTGAACTCTCCTTGTGATCTTGATTTTGTTGTTTGTTAAGAGACATTTCTCTTAGAAATATCCTCTGCGGGTTTTCTGATTAAGGAGTGCATAAAATCCCATAAAAATGATTTCCGGATCTTAAAGGCCAGCTGCGAGTGGACCACTACAGATAATCCGTGTGGATCTCATGGATCAGACAATAATTTCACAAGAATTATCTCAACTTTATATTTGACCTATCAAACTCATTTTCACCCCCTAAAAACAGACATTTCTCCTCCTCCTCCTCCTCCTCCTCTTCTGCTGCTCTGGGAATAAACCCCGCCGAAGTGGGAGAATTAGGAGGTTATTAACTTCAAATAATGCAGTAATACACCTATTAATGAACAAATAAATAATGTATTGTCATTGTTGTTTGGGTTGTGTGAGCTACTGGACTCTAATAAGGACAACAAAAAATAAATAAATATGACAGCCAACTGATAACTCCTAACAGGCCCATATAGGGCACTGTCTGAAACTGATAACCAAAGTCACGCATGACATGGCACATCTTCTCATTTGCGAAACTCGGTTGATATCAGTCGATATGACCGCAATTTCAAAACCCCGTGAGCCCAAACAGCTCGCGTGTCTCCCCCCTCTATATATATATATATATATATATATGAAGGCTGTATCTCTGTAGGTCTTTCATGGCTTTGCACCAACTATGTGAGTCAGTCATGCACCAGTAGGAAACTGAAACATCGTAGAGCAGGGTGAACATATTTATAGACCAAGTGTGATGTTTCACATTCCCCCTTTATCATCGTATACCCACCAGCAGCCTGCACAGTGTCGGTTTCATCTCCGCACACAGTGCAGCCTCACAGGATCGTGTCAGCACCGGGATCATTTGGCCAATTTAAAGCCCTGTGTATGACCCGGCGGAGGCCTGTTGCTCAGAAAATTAAATACTTCTAGTGCCTAATAAATAGATACAATACAATAAAAAAAGGGTTTTAAGGTTTCATTAGTTGTGGAATAACTGTGCTGATTTCCTTTACAATACATATAACATAAAACTATAGATTCACATGACTGTGGAGCTTTCATTTCTTTGTCATGTGAATCCCTTTATATCTAGAAAGATCTGTTCAACACAAATAGATCTAACCTAAAAAACCCAAATAGTTACAGTGTGACAGGTGAGAGCTGGTGCTGTGGTCGGGGTGCATCAGCCTGCTTTTCTAAATTCAAAGCATGCGCTGAAATGTGGCAAGCACGCAGGTCAGGCCAGCTTTCTCGCTTCAGTGTTTTTTTTTTTTTTTTTTTTGTTTGAGCCACCTTCAGGAAATGGCGCCCGAATAAGTTAGGAAGCAGCGAAAGCGAGCTGGTGTTGCAAGCAGTTGCCCAGAAACCAGAGAAGCCAATAATGTTCTCACAGAGCCGACAGCTGTTTATTCACCGTGCGCCTGTCCCATTGCGGTCTGCAAGACTCAATTTTTCATCGAGTCGAGCCAAATATGGAGAGAACCGCAGCAGCCTGCGTAGAGGCTGCCTCCCTCCAGCACCGCACCAGCCGTGGTCTTTTCTGTCTGAACACACACAAAGACCGTGCAGGCAATAGCCATTATAGTACCGACAGGAAATTCGTCTTAGCAGGTATGACTATCAAAATGGTGGTTCATATATTCGACGGCAGCCAAAACGCATCTTTGTCGAGCGCCCGCCTTTCTCCTGCTCCACTGCGGGGATTAATTCACACAGACAGACAGTAGCACATAGATCATTCAGTGTCTTTAAACGTGAGCGAGACTGAGACGGACGTAAACGGTGCTGCACCCTCCAGAGTTAGACTTGCAACCCCCCCCCCCCCCACCACCCACCCGAGCTTATGTGCGATTTCATTTAACACACTGCGCAATGAATCTCAATCTAATTTAACCTCACAGGTATTCAATTAATTAAAATGCCTGCATTTACTTTCATTTTGGCCTTAAATGTAAATATGAAGTCAGGATTTGATTAGATTATACACCCTAATGGAGGAGCGCAAGTCATGAACAAAATGAGAGAATACATGTGCAGGCATTGTCAATAACAGTAAGAATTTGTGGTAAATCGTGTCATAAATGATGTGAGTGTTTTCTTTTATAATGTCACATTTTATCTGTGTCCGCCTCTAAAGCTACAACATCTTTTAAAAAAACGCAACAGAGGCAAAAAATTTGTTGTCGGTGAGCGGAAAATGTCTGGCCGCAGACAGTTCAGTCACAGCATCAAAAAACACTGTGGTGATATCTGAGACTTTCCAAACCTCCCTCATTCATTTAGTGGATAAAACTCTCACAGGCCTGCACAGGGTGCGTCCTGTGTATGTGTGTGTGTGTGTGTGTCTGTGTGTGTGTCATTGTAAATACACAAACTGGGAATGAGGACGAGTAAATCTGACAGTGGAAATAATTGATTTCCAGTATTGTGCAAAGGCCTCTGTTTGTGTTTAAAGCCATTTTAAAATAATTTAATTAATTTTCAAAGTGTCTTATTGACTTCCTTTCATGCTCAGTTGAAGGATGATGGTGGATGACCTGCGGCTTTGGAAGGTATAAAGACTGCACACCTGGGAAGGGTTTCTCTTGGCGAAATACATTATCATTTTTGTTTATTAACCATTTTGATTCAAAATGAACGCTTGCCTAATAGAGAAAATGCACCCGAGGCTTCAGAAAACTCCGCCCTTCAACTCTTTTTTGTGTGATTAATACTCCAAAGTGAGTCATAATCATTTGCCGCCCACAAGACAGAGACCTTGGGCAATTACAAAACTATTATAATAATAATAATAATAATAATATAATATAATAATAATATAATTAAATAAATAATAATAATAATAATGACTTGCTGCAGACTGCAGAAATACAAATATTTTATGTTCAATTTAACTATGAATCTTTCGTTTTATTTGTGAGGGAAACATCAGCCAGAAACAATAAAAAAAGATAATAATAATAAAAATAAAAATAATAATTGTAATAATTTATTTTATAATAAATATTTATTCATTAATTCTAATTATTTTATAAATAAATATAATATTGATTCCAAACTCTGTTAATAATATTCCAACAGTTGTAGGTTCAAATTTAATTTAGAAAAAACAGGCCCTCATGGACATATTTATACAAGAAGAAATGAAGATTAAATCAAATCTTTATAGTCTATAGAGGCACAAAACATTCTCCCACTGATTATTAGAAACAGAGTTGGCTCTCAATATTTTGTACATTATTTTACATGAACCAGAGGCAGTTCTGCAGGTAACATGTAATTTAAATTTAGCCAAGCTTCCACTTTTGTAGGTAAATCCAACTGTGCCCTGTCGGGTGAAGTCCTGATACCAAATAAAATTTCACCTTGAATAATATCATTCAGCCTCTCGGAATAAAAGCAGTCAATATTCTGCCTGTTTTTAAGTGAAGAAGTCGATATTAAAGCGGTCATTTTGGACCATATTTGCTTTTCATGTCATTTGTTTCGTCTTATAAAAATATTTAAAATAACAATTGTCATTAATAATACGTCTAAATAAACCGACTTCCCTTTACTGTTTAAGTGCAATAGAGTGACCTTGTGCTGCAGCAAAAATATATCAGCTCTGCGGAATGATCATTAACACCGACCGACTGTGTTTATTTGTTTTGGGTGTTTTTTTTCCCGCACTCGATTCTGCTATCACCGCAACCTTTGAGTGCTGCACGATGCATTTTGTGCTCAGACTGTGAGAGATTGCGGGCAGACACTTCGTCCGTAAAATGTTAAAGTCCAATTACGCATGGTTTGGCATTACATGGGCCCTTTCCTTTTGATATTTAGCCCCGTGTTCCTTGAACGGTTGAAATTATAAATGCAACTGTGTTGTCGCATGATTCTATTAAACAAATTATTTTAAATGATCAGCCATGAACCTATAAACTAATACAAATCAAAGTTTTTGTCTCAAGTAGGGCAGATATATGACCATGTATGCCCATGCATGTTCCTATTTGGTGCATTTTTCTTTGTAAGAATATTATTTTGGATTTAATTGTTGATTCATTCATTTACATATATATATAAGATAATATTTACAGATAAATGTGTAAATGGGGTGTGCGTGAGGGTAAAATCTTTCATTTAAACCAGGCATCCTCCTCTCTCACTGGCTTCATTTTTTAAATTTTTTTAATGCTTTTGAAATGAAACTAATTTTTCTTTTGGTTCTGGCTCTGCGGACCCCCCCTTGGCGACTTCAGGGGGTCCGTGGATCCGCTCCGGGAGCCTCTGACTCCGCTCGTCCCCACTGTGCCAGACATTCCTGTACAGCAACCAGAGCAGCGGGACTCCTCCCCTCCGCTCACAGAGCCGGAGCACGTAGCAACAACTGAGCCAATGTGCTCCACCGCGATCCGTCCTACCGACTGCGGTGCCTGGCAACAGAAAAAGACGTGATGACGTCCTCCTCAGATTGCGTATTATGGGATGTGCGGAATTAAACAACCCGAAGAGGACACGGGGAAGCCAAAAATAATAAAAGAGACAGAAATAAACGAGGTGCATGGTGAATCATGGAGCTCTCGGCTGTTGGTGAGAGCGTCTTCGCAGCCGAGTCCATCATTAAACGGCGAATCAGACGGGTATTCGCTACGTTTTTCCACCCACAGGCTGTGTATCCACACCTATTACGCAACCATTTGTTTGTACGGCGCCGACAGCCAATCCTCTGATAACCTCAATCTATTACGGATCTGTTTTTACAGGGTCGCTGGGAATATCTCGTGAAATGGAAGGGCTGGTCTCAGAAGTGAGTATATAATAATCGAGGCTGTGAAGGACAGCGCTCCATCCTGGCCGCTCGTACAACTGCACCACCTCACACTCTGGCGTTATTCAGCTTCTGGATGTTTTTTTTTTTTTTTAATCATATCATCTGCTCTACGTGCTGTGGTGCAGTTTATCGTATGTGTGGTTGCGTGTGTGCACCAGACAGGGGTTGTAAACGTCTGAGCTGCAGCCCCGCTGGGATGTATCAAAGTCCCCCAGTAGCTTTAGCAATGGCTGGGTTCACCATGCGTCACTGTCCGCTACGTAGTCTGTAATTGCAGCTCACGCAATAAGATTGCTTTTGATAAAAGTCGTCTGTTGCACGGCACATGTGTGCGCTTTGACATGTGATCCGTCCACTGCGCGGTAACAAACACCTCCTCTTCCTCCTCCTCCTGTAGGTACAGCACTTGGGAGCCGGAGGAAAACATTCTGGATGCACGTCTCTTCTCTGCCTTCGAGGAGAGGTGAGGGTTTGACAGCGCAGCAGTAGGCCGCTCTATCGAGTCTTTGCTACACACACACAAAAACGCCCATAAAAATACAACATCAGGTGTAGATTTGAATCTTTAAATCTTGTTTTTCGTAAAGGAAGTGGTAACAAGTGTCAGTGGAGCGAGATGATTCCGTTTCCAGTTTGAATAGATGCAAGGTGTGATGCTGTTTTTCCATCACAAACATGGCATCAGCTTCATTCTGACATATTTTTCATTTTAATTAACCTCATTTTCAATAAAAAATTGTCCTAAAAAGTGGGGAAATGTAACTCTATTTGGCAGAGTTTGGCCCCAAAACTTTTAGATTTTCCGATTCAATTATAAACTACAATTTAAAAAAGTATTTGTTAATGTGTTTTGATGAATCTTTAAATGATTTTCATTCCCCCAGGGAGCGCGAAAGGGAGATGTTCGGACCGAAAAAGAGGGGACCCAAACCCGAGACATTTCTCTTGAAGGTGGGTGAATGTGAAGCGCATTTATCTGGTTTTCATTTTATCTTA